CTATTTGCTTTCCGCATACCTGTTCATCACAAAACATCCCCTTTCGAGATTACCGAAGTTTAGTCATACGTAATTGTTATATTTAACTTGTCCTACAGATGTACTTTTAGAACTGTAAACGCAATTTCGGCGAGCACAAGAGAGTCGGAAAGCTATGGTCAAAACAAGACTAATTTTGCTTTAAACGCTATCTGTTTGTAAACATAAAAACAATTAGATTAGTACAATTAGTAAGGAAGTTACGATCATCAAGTAAGATGAGTAAACGTACTGACCAGAATGGAAATGAATTGAGATACGAGTCACATCAATATAATAAGATAATGTCCTTCAGTTGGTGGGTCATTTGGAACAAAGATAGTTTACGGGCACGTCAGACCAGTTCAAGGTGAACGCTTAAACTACAGCTTGATTGGTTAGTTATAACATAACTACAATTCTTTATGGAAATGACTAATAAAATACATGTCTCAGCTACCTTAACTGATGAAGACTCACGACTTCATCATCTGATTTTCTAATCTTGCCTATTACTCTTTTTCTAACTTCAGCATGTAGAATTCTTTTTGAATGCTTTGTGTTTTGGAAAATCCCTCCATGTTTACATATTTTTGCTATGACCTGATGGACTTTTTCTCTTGACATTTTTGGTATTTTATTTGATTCCAATTTGAGATTTTACCATTGTATGTTGTTATTCTTTCCATATTTTGTACTTATATTGAAGTTTTTGTGTTTGCTTCTGAATTGTACATATATTGTTTAAATTTGATATAATATGGCTACCGCCACATTTTTGGATAGACGCGGTGGCTGCTGGACTTAGTGTCACTTACTAGCTATTGTAATAGATACTCTACGGAGTAATTTAGTCATGGAAGAAACAAAAACATCGTAAGCCTCTGTATTTCCATTTTATAACAATATAGAGACGGTTTTCTCCTAGAATTTTTGGCCTTCTGATTTGGCTGGGACCTGGATCTAGGAGTATCGTACCGGTGTGTTTCTATTGGACGCGATTAGGACAGCCGCCGGCGAAATAAATTCTACAGTCTGATGTTTGCTCTTCTTGCGTGAATTATACTTGGAAATATCCGTCGGGACGCATATAATTTGGATCTATTTGGATTATTAAGAATTACAAGGAAACATTTGGAATTTAATCGTTTATCATACTAGACTTCCTTGGAGGAAGACGCTGGAACTACGTATCATTAATTTTTGAACTGAATCTTGGATTTATTCTATTTTGTATCGTTACCGTCTTTATCGAACTTTATTTATGATGTCAAACCGAAGAAAAACATACATGAGGAGGGTGGAAGAGCTCGACGGATCACAGGGCTCTAGGCAAGTCGTTGATGATAACCTTTTTATGGGTAACCCACATGTTATGTCTGATATTTATTATTGTAAGTCATCGATAGAGGGTTTAGAATTACCTAAGGTTGAGCTTTCATATTTTGATGGAAGGTCTCGCGACTATTTTAAGTTCATACGACAGATTGAGACGTTTATAGAACCTCGAATCAAGGATGATCAAGTGCGTTTATTGTATTTAATTCATTATTGTAAGGGAAAAGCTAAAAATGCGATCGAAGGCTGTCTTATAATGGACCCACAGGCAGGATATAAGAGAGCTAAGGTTATTTTAAAACAGCTTTTTGGGCAGTCACATGTGATAGCGCGAGAAACCTTAGAGGACTTATTTAGAACTGGGAATGTCGAATTTAATGATCCTGAATCATTGACGAACTTGGCCATTAAAATGCAGAATGCTTCTTTAACTTTAGAACAGTTAAATTGTACAGCTGAACTTAACTCTATGGATACTTTAGAACGAATAGTAAGGCTCTTACCTCGTCGAATGCAAGCCCAGTGGGCAGAGCTAGTATTCAAGTGGGACGAAGAGGAGAGAGAGCCCAATTTTAACGAATTGACGGAATTTATTATGTCTCGTGCTAAGATAGCTAGTAGTAGGTTTGGAAGATTAGCTTATCAGGCTAAAACAGGAAATAATACGGAAGCTACTAGTGGTCTGCGTGCGAGACATTCGGATTCTTCGTTTCTACCTAAAGCACGTTCGGAAGATAAGAGATTTGTCAATTATATCACGAAAGCATACCCTGATGAAGGACGAGTACGTGACCGTAACGATGTAAATTCTCTTGATGCGTGTCCTAGTAAGAAGCCAGTTGGTGTAACAGATAAGATGGCTTTTCTAAGTGTAGAAAAGAAAGAAACGGGCGAAAAGTGTAGGCATCAAGATGGATCCGAAGTGTGTGACGATAAAAGCCTCTTAGCTGCTCGAAAAGCCTGGAACGGTAATTTGGATTCGAGTAATCAGAGGTTAGTGAGTTCAGCAAATATGAATAAAGCCCAGGCAGGATTGACTGAACGGAATAAAGCTTATTTTCGGAACCCTTCAGTTAGGGTAAATTATATAACTGGACCTAGAGTAGATTCTAGGATAAGTGATGGTGGTACAGTAACGGCTAAGAAGCCTAGGAGACATGATGCTACTATTACTAAGAAGCCTGAACCTCATGCTCTTTCGGATGCTACGACTAGCTATGGAAATAGTAGCCATCAGAACCTCAATAGTGACAGTGATAATAAGAATATAGAAAGTGTCAGCAGTTCACTTATAGGGACTAGTTTATCCACTTCATCGAATGAGCCTCCTAGTGTTTCGACGCCATCGGACCTCGTCACGAAGGTTAAGTTGATTGAAGATGCACAAGGTTGTGCAACTGTAACTGTTCCTATTACGGTTAACCGTCAGTCGAGTGATGATGAGAAGAAAGTGATTGATGGTAACAGCCAGTCTACAGTGCTGTGTGATGACGATGCTATTGTTGAGCATATGTCTTGTGCCGCGGAAACGGATGCTAATGTGGGAATCTCACTAATGTACCACCATGATGACTCTGGCGTCAATCCTTGAAATATTTCATACAAAATAACGAACACTCATTGTCATGCACACTTCTTCTCATTATGAGTTCTTGGAACTCCTAATGCTCTAACATCCAAAGTGTCTGTAGCCCACTCAATGAAAAGCTCTAGGAACAGCCTTGATAAAAACATACTCATGTACGGATTATTGTCTTCCCCTAGTCCAGCTGTGCGACTTCACCACTAAGTCATCACCGACCTGTTGACGGGATATCTGCTGTTATCAGGAAACTATGATATTTATTAACGACCTGCTAGGATCAGTTAGCTCACCGGCATTGATCTACGCAGACGATGAGAAGATCTGGAGGTCCATTAGAAACGAAGAGGATTCGACTGAGCTTCAAAAGGACCTTACATCTGTTGAGAAATAGGCAGTGAAAAACGGTTTGAAACTCAACCAGCCGAAGTGCCACGTCATGCATTTCCTGCCTCATATGACGCAAACGAGCTGTACTCTCAATGGAAGTCTGCTCCCTAATGTCTCCTCAGAGCGCGATCTTGGTTTAATAACCACAGAAAGCCTCCACACCAGTCCAAGCTATGTAGGGGATGCAGCCAAGGCAAATGCGACTCTTCACTTTATGCGAAGACAGCTTGGTGCTATCACCCCGAAATTATTTTTAACCCTCTTTAAGACGTTCGCGCGCCCACACTTGTAGGTTCACAACGTCATCGCACCCCGTCTGCTTAAAAGAGACATTAATCTCTTGGATCGAGTGCAGAGACGAGCAACGAAATGGGTGATAGGGTTGAAAAATAAACCCTACGACGATAGACTCCAGCTCTTGGGATTATTCCCACTGAGCTACAGGAGAATCAGAGGTGATCTGATAATGGCGTACACCATGTTAAACACGCCAAACCATCCCAACGTGAGCATCTTACCGATGCATCACCACCACTCCCCTCGAGGAAATCCTCGAAAGATTGCACACCAACGAGCGAATACTCAGGTCCGTGTACACTTTTTCTCATTGCGAGTAGTCGAAACTTGGAATGCTCTCCCAGCCGAGGTAGTTACAGCCCACTCAGTGGACTGCTTTAAGAAGAGACTTGATAATCACGGACTATCATGTTCTTCTTGGACAAGCTGTGCCTGATGCATATCTTGAGACATGCTAGTTGTTACCATTTCCATCTCCTCAGATCACTCAATAATAATAATAACCCCGCCTATTATCTCTGTTTCCTCTCCCTTGCTTACACTTCGGTCCTCTCTCACAATCCTCACTACCAATTAACAAACTAAATCCACCTATATATTACTCAGTTCTGAAATTTTATTCATATTATCATTTCAATCTATCCTTATTACCCTTATTACTCTCCACATTGCAACTAACTGATCTCAGGTCTGGTAATGTGATAGCCGCTGGTATCCAAAAATCCTACTGCCCTGAAACAAACGTATTCATTCTATTCATGGGACACACAAACTCACAAACAACTACCAACTAACTAGAATTAGACAGTCGAGTGACTAGACCTCCATCCATTGGACATTACCGAACACCTGGAACCGTACCGAAAGAACAAGAACCGAGCGCGAAGAAATCAAATTGGTTTACACTAGCTCGTGAAAAAGATACTGGATATTGGATTTTGGACAGTCAAGTTACTATACTACCATTCATTTGACACTAATGAATACCAGCAATTTACTGGGAGATAAGAATTGAGAGCAAAGTAATCGATTGTTTTATGCTTGCCGGTGTCAAAGATATTGGATAATGTATTTGGCACCTGAAGGTCGCCTATCGAAGACGCGCCATTTGTGATTACGTTCTTACTCTTAGTTCTTGATCTTTTTTGAGTATGGTTGCCTGTGTGTAATATTTCACACGAATATGATTTTTTAAAATCCCTATAAGTCTACTTACTCACAAATACTTTTTTTTGCAACAGTTTGTATCTTACAGCAGATATTTACAACCATCTCTTCGACATTATATAACTCTTGCCACACACGTCGTCTAAGTTTTGGGTTTTAAGAATTGAAATGGAATCTAACTTCTTATCTCTGGCTGCCTAACAAAAAAATGCTACCCTACTTTGATTACCAGTTTCGTGTAATCATAATTGGCGATAGTATGGTTGGGAAGTCTTCTTTAATGAAAAGCTTCGTAGAGGGGAATTTCAATCCCGTTTCAGATCCAACTATTGGAGTTGATTTCTTCTCACGAACTGTTCGAATTCAAGAGGATGTTTTCGTCAAGTTGCAATTATGGGATACTGCTGGTCAAGAAAAGTTTAGGTATGTTTCAACGTCAAAATTCTATATTCTTTCAGAACGATCACGGCTTCTTACTATCGCAATTGTGTTGGGGTTGTTGTTGTCTTCGATCTCACTGATAGGGAAACATTCGACCATGTTTCTGATTGGTATAAAGAGGCTCGTGGTTCTATTAAATGCTCTGCGCCTGTTTTTATTTTAGTTGGCCACAAAGCTGATCGTCGCGATGAAAGACAAGTAAGCTGCTGTGATTAATTCTATCGCTGTATCAAAGCAGCTAGTGTTTTGATGTGACAATTTCAGAATTTAGTGTATGGATTCCTAGAATATGATTAATCGAATCATTCGGAAATATAGCAACGTACAGAAAACCTAGTCTATACATTCCAGCATTTTGTAAAATTATACCTTTTTCCACTTTGCAACCGTACCAAAATCATATGGCAGTAGTGTGGCGAAAAATTCCATATTCTCTCCTTCAATAAAACCGTTATGCAAATCAATGCTTGAACCCCACAGAAATCCTTCGCATTTCTTATTATTAGTAAAAATAATTAATGGAAATTGTTCTTCAAAATACTCTGGAGCTTATGTACAATGAAGCCAATTAGTTTAAACTGATCATACTATTTGCGGTAAATATAGTACATTATTTCAGGGATTATGGATGTTTGACACCTTATCCATACAACAGTTAGGTAAATACGATGATCGTATTGAAGTTGAAGTGCGCCCGACTGTTCAGTTTGGGAGCTCGTACGACTGAGTTCTAAACAACTGGTCCGAAGATATTTAGTATAAGTCAGAACTGAACCGCCTTTATTGCTTTTGCTCCCAATGATACTTGCATTGTTGCTTAAGGTAGTCAGAAGTTCACTTTACTACACCAAAACGTCATCAGAGTATTGACAGATTTGGTCTCGGTATTTATAGAGAGCTTCTGTTTCCTAGTAAGTCTGCATAATAAACTGTATTTGTTTTTATCATCTCAAGCCTCTAATTTGAGCATATTTTCAATAGGTTTCCAAAATAGAAGCTGAGTCTCTTGCGCAACGGCTCGGTGATTATATATACATTGAAACATCTTCACTTACGGGCCAAAATATTGAGAAAACTTTTGAATTGCTAGCTGAGGGCATCTACTCCAATGTTATTAAAGGGAGTTACAGTGATGTAAGTGCAGTTTCAGTAAGCTTAATATATATTTTTTAATTGTTTGTTGTCTATTCCTATCTTTCATTTCCGAGTATACAGCTGTTATATCCACCGATGTTTTTAACTTTGCTATTAGCTGATTGTATACATACTATTCCAAGAAATTAAGAATGACTCTTCTATTACTAGTGTCGTATTGGTAAGTTGACTGTTCAAAGTCAGTCTATAACCACTATCCTTTGACTTAAATCCAATAAATCAAATAAGGCAACAGCTCAATTTGAACAGAAATTTATTTTATTAGTCAAAGACGTAAGAAAATTTCAACAGAAAAAATTACATAAGAAGTGAATCTGTAATAAATGTAGCAGGAATGGTTAAATGTAAAAAATAATTCGAAAGAAACATGTAGAACGTAGGGCTTGAAAATTTTTATGATGCTGTCATTTCAAAGAGGATTCGAACAAGGGTTAGACTTTCAGAAACTATCCTACAACGAATAATTCCCTACATTTTCGCTGCATATTCATTACACTCTTATATTCCCTTATATGTAAACTTCTGGTTAGTGAACAAACTTGTTAGGGACAGTTTAAATAGGTAACAAACTTTAGAAACTATTTTCATGACGTCTTATTTGTACATAATTATTGCATATTTATTCAATGATTAGACTCAGATGTATATTTCTGGTACCCTAAGCCATCTGTTTACCTATAAATTATTATCATACGATTTATTGTTTCTATTTTGATTATAGCTCATTATTTACAGCCTCCCACATACTCATAGCCACTTTTGGCTCATTCATATATAGTTGTCAATTTCCATTTATGAACGAGGTGTGATCTAGTTTCATTTGTTTATAATGGAATGGCTGAAATATGATAGGAAATTTCGAACTTAAAGTCGTTGGTTTTTGTTGTTCATCTTCGAATAGAGCAAGTAGATATTAAGCCGTCGTTTGAGCATAGAGTAGTCAACTCTTCCTTCTTTGTTATATATTGGTTACTAAACGGTCACCTACTTATTAGTTTGTGAAAGGGCATAACAGTTTTATTTCTCTTTAATTAATTAAAAGCCTGTTACCAAGTTTTCCTCCATATGTAGCCTACTCATGTGCACATAATTTCCCATTTAATCCCTATTATCATATGGGTTTTGATTTATTTCTGAATCATACAGTCAGCCAGTTAGCTATCACGTATAAACCGCATTAGTACAGAGAGATGAAATCGTCATTTCAAATCCCATAATAGCAAAGATTGTATCTGTATTAATGATAATGGGAAAGATTAGGAACCAAAGATATGATTCAGAAAAATATAAATCAATGAAATAATTTTTTTACAAAGGAGAAAAAGTTCATGAGGAATTCAGATTATAATTTGGGGGAAGGCAAAGAACAGATGAATCTGCGCCATTATAAGCAACTTTTAGTCATGTCATTCGAAGTCTCTAACCACCGAATAGGATTGTCACGCGGATCCCAACCAGCTAGGCTGCTTCTAGCTTTCTTCCAACATACCCTTATATGAGACAACATCGCTCGTCGGGGTAGTTAGCTGTTAGGCATACGTAACACATATCACAATGACCTGAACTAGTTTTCCATTCTTACTTAATATCCTTTTCCTAACCCCAGTATTACTTAGTCGACGGTTCTAGAATACATAAGCGATGCTTCTAAGACATCTATAATTGAATACTAGTAACCTACGAATATCCCCTATTCTTATTGCCCATGTTTAACACGTGTAAAGTAGGTTGAGGCGAATTACACCAGCGGGGCCACGGAAAGCATCTGAGGGGCTTCCAGATACAGGAAACGGATCCTGTATGCGCCTTTTGAAGACGCAGCATGCATCAATGATCTGAGTTCTAGCTGAGGAAGCCTGCGGTCCCATTCGGAACAGGGTTCGAACAATAAAAACTCCGACAGGTTTCGAACGGGTAAGAATAAAATCTCGTGTACTCAAATCGTTAGCATTAGCTGCAAAAGGTGATAAAGGTCTACGAGTAGGGTTGGTTGTGGAGACAAGAGCGTTGTTAAGAGGTGAGGGAAGGATTGGATTGTGTGCAAGTTGATCTCGTATGCTGTTAGGGGTATGAGGGTGCATGTCACTTATCGGTTGCCCATATCATAAAAGGGCGTTAATATTAGCAACTTGTGGACACAACTGTTCAGTCTGAGAGACAACTGATTGAAGACGGTCGCGTATGGTGTTTTTATGGGGGGTTTTTGCAGTGTTAGCTTCGCACTTCAAAAGGCCTTACCGCTGGAAACAGAAATCCGTTGAGTAGTAAGATGAGGCATTCCATTTTTAGGGTTGACCTTTTCTAACTCCTTCCTTCCGTTGTAGAAGGTAGCACACCTTCAGATGCTGGTTTTCCGAGGGAAACACCTTACTGCTGTCACACCCCTCTACAACTTGTTGCCATATTTGACACAAAGTATGAACATTAAATGCTCCAACATGTAGTTTAAAACAGGGTTTCAGGAGTCCAAGAATAACGTGTCGTGACCTCAGTATTTTTCCATTAGCGGTGCAAGGTGACAAAGCAATGAAAGAAGGGATAGTCATGGAGATATGAGAGTTATGGTTGAGGCTGGTCACACACGGCTTTTTTATAGAAAGTTTTTAGTGTTGACTCAGTTCTTCAAGTGGCCTTACCGCTGCAGACGGCAATCCGTGGGGTAAGGTGAGGTATGACATTTCTAGAATCGAACCTTTCTGACCCAACCCTTCCTTGTGAGAAAGCAGCATCCCTACAGATTTTCGCTGTCCGAGGCAAACACCTTATTGAAATGGTGGAGAAAACTTGTAGCTCAGGTGGATGATTGCGGTGGTGTTTCGTTCTCTGAGCTGGTTGTTTTGGTTGTGGAGCTTTCATTGTTCTTCTGAACAATATCATCAGCACGAACTTCAGATAGAAGTGAAGCATCAGAATTTCTCCACGTTTGACCTGTAGCTTGTTCTGCTAACCTCGATCTTGATTGGTTGTTGTTGACCTTTGGCCTGTCGTTGTTTGCAACTATGTTTTGATTGCCTCCCTCTTTTGATCTGTTTTTGATCTAGTGTCACCTATGATTTTCCTGATTGGTTGATAAATTGGGTCAATGTCGATGTGTTTGTTGATTGCTAATTGACCTGAGTGCCAAGCTTCTAAAAATTCTCTAGTGTTCTTTGTCCTCCCCTACCCAGTATTTCCACGTTGTTCCAATCAAATGTGTGTCCATAATTGTCGGTGTGTATTGATATAAGCGAAGCGTTGTCGTGGCGTTTGACTGCTAATTGATGTTCACGTAAACGGAGCTGAAGAGGTCGTCCACTTTGTCCTATGTAGTGTTTTTCACAGTTTGAGCAATTTATTTTGTAGATGATATTTGGTTTTTCTTCCTTTGTCATTTTGTCCTTTGGTCTACATAGGATTGACTGAAGTGATTCTGTTGGTTTGTGTGCCACACCTATTCCAAATGGTTTTAGTAGTCGTGCCGTATGCTCCGATATGTCTTTGATGTATGGTAGGATGATGTGTTTATTTGTTCCTGTGCTTGATTTCACTTCTGATGATGGTTTTGGTTGATGTTTTTTGATGAAGTTGCGTGGATAGCCGTTCTTTTGGAAGATAGTCATCAGGTGTTTTTCCTCGTTTTTTAATGTTTCGTATGTGCTGCAGTGTGTCTTCGCTCTCTTGAACGGAGTTTGTATGCAGTTAATCTTGTGGGTTCTTGGGTTGTTGCTGTCGTAGTTGAGAATTACGTCGGTGTGGGTTGGCTTCCGAAATATATGAGTTTCTAGTTTTCCTGTGTTAGTTCTGGTGATTAGTACATCCAGGAATGATAGGCTGTTGTTTGATTCCTTTTCCATCGTGAATTTGATGTCATCAAAGACGTTGTTGATCTGATTGTAGATGTTCTCCAGCTCATTCCTTTTGATAATAACGAATGTGTCGTCTCCATAGCGAACCCACATTGTTGGCTTGATCACTGGTAGAATCGACGCTTCCAGTCTCTGCATTACCGCTTCGGCGATGAGTCCTGATATTGGTGATCCCATTGGTGTTCCTTTTATTTGTTCGTAGACTCTGTTGTTGAACTGAAGATACGTTGTTAAGCATAGGTCGATGAGTTCAAGCAAACTTTGACTCTGAAGCTTTGCATATTTGTGTAGATTTGTGTCGTTGGTGAGGAGCAGAGAAAGAGTTTCTTTAGCTAAGCTTGGTTCTATTGAGATAAATAAGGCTGTTACGTCGAAGGATATCATCATTTCGTCGTCTTCAATTTGAATCCTCTTGAGTTTATCCAAGAATTCTGTGGCAGACTTAATGGAGTAGTTGGATTCATCCACCAGATGTCTTAATATCCTTGAGATTTCTCTTGATAAGTTGTAGGTCGGGGTTTCGGAGAGGGATACAATAGGACGTAGTGGGATGTTAGGTTTGTGGAGTTTTGGCCTACCGTAGAATCGTGGAATTGTTGGTCCATTGGATTTCATTCTCCATTGATCTTGTTTTGATATTTGTCCTGTTTTTACAAGCCTATTTAGAGTCCTTGAGATTTGATTGTCCAACTTTTTTATAGGGTTTGTGTCGACTGGTTTATATACGCTTCTGTCCTGAAGTAGCTCCTCGGCTTTCTTAATGTATTGTTCCTTGTCCATGATTACAGTTGTGCGTCCTTTGTCCGCTGGAACTATGACTATATCTTCTCTGGTTTTGAGTTTCTTCAGAGCTTTTCGTTGTTATGCCTTAGAGTCATCGCTCAAAACGGCAGGAATAAGTGAAGAGACTCAACAAGAAATAAGACAAACCATAGTACCACTAACTCGACGGAAGAGAGACAACAACCAACTAACAGCTGGAGAACATCTACAATCAGACCAACAACGTCTTTGTTGACATCAAATTCAGGATGGAAAAGGAATCAAACAACAGCCTATCATTCCTGGATGTACTAATCACCAGAACTAACACAGGAAAACTAGAAACTCATATATTTCGGAAGCCAACCCACACCGACGTAATTCTCAACTACGACAGCAACAACCCAAGAACCCACAAGATTAACTGCATACAAACTCCGTTCAAGAGAGCGAAGACACACTGCAGCACATACGAAACATTAAAAAACGAGGAAAAACACCTGATGACTATCTTCCAAAAGAACGGCTATCCACGCAACTTCATCAAAAAACATCAACCAAAACCATCATCAGAAGTGAAATCAAGCACAGGAACAAATAAACACATCATCCTACCATACATCAAAGACATATCGGAGCATACGGCACGACTACTAAAACCATTTGGAATAGGTGTGGCACACAAACCAACAGAATCACTTCAGTCAATCCTATGTAGACCAAAGGACAAAATGACAAAGGAAGAAAAACCAAATATCATCTACAAAATAAATTGCTCAAACTGTGAAAAACACTACATAGGACAAAGTGGACGACCTCTTCAGCTCCGTTTACGTGAACATCAATTAGCAGTCAAACGCCACGACAACGCTTCGCTTATATCAATACACACCGACAATTATGGACACACATTTGATTGGAACAACGTGGAAATACTGGGTAGGGGAGGACAAAGAACACTAGAGAATTTTTAGAAGCTTGGCACTCAGGTCAATTAGCAATCAACAAACACATCGACATTGACCCAATTTATCAACCAATCAGGAAAATCATAGGTGACACTAGATCAAAAACAGATCAAAAGAGGGAGGCAATCAAAACATAGTTGCAAATAACGACAGGCCAAAGGTCAACAACAACCAATCAAGATCGAGGTTAGCAGAACAAGCTACAGGTCAAACGTGGAGAAATTCTGATGCTTCACTTCTATCTGAAGTTCGTGCTGATGATATTGTTCAGAAGAACAATGAAAGCTCCACAACCAAAACAACCAGCTCAGAGAACGAAACACCACCCTAAACACCTTATTGCTGTAGTATCCCTTTACAGTCAGCAGTACGACTTCGCCCTCAGACCGTAAGTTTCTGCTTTTAGTCCTACTGTTTCCCAATAAACTTGGCTGGTATGATAGAACCTAAAAAACAGGTGTTCCAGCCAATATAGCTTGGTCGGGTCATTGAGATGGGCAAGTCCGACCACCACGTCAAGGTAGCAGCTACTATCGGGAACCATACAGTGAAAGTCCTATCTACTTTCTCTGTTCGTATTTTGTCTATTCATCACTTAAAGAGTAGAAATCTGGACCCTTTATTAATAGGTGTTAACTATTTGTCCTGGTTATTACACGATTATAGTCCCACGGACAATCTGGCTAGATAATACAAATGTGGCTATAATAAAAACCCCGACCACATAGTACTCAATACATTCCAAGAATCTGTTCTTTTTGAAGGTACGATTGATATTAAGCTTAAAATCTACTAGCTAAGTAGATCTACACCACTGCGTTCGATTTTAGGCTATTCCACCAAAGTCCTTTAACTGTAAGCACTGTGGTTATTTTGGGGGGTTGGTCGTAACTAAGAAGTTTACATTTCCATCACATGCTTCATACCAATAGTCAATCACTTCATGATCTGAAGTGTCGCTCATATACAGTCCTAACAAGCTAAAATAGGTACATAAACGTAAATCTCTGACGGGTATGCGGGTGGATATCCTTTCCCGGCTGCACTCACCGGAGAAGAAACGTACATCTACGCTCTATAGCTCTACGTAATATCAATGATTCTAGTCTAAAAGTAACTCTTATCAATGCTTGTTAGTATAGTTGAAGAGGAATTATTCATCTAGTGAACTCTCGATTAGTAACTGTATGTTGAAACAAATAGTGCTTATATTCGACCATGTTATTTGTTGTGAATTGATCTATAACTTCGAAGAACTGGTGGTGTGTTTGTCATTACGATCTCTTCTAAACAGGGCGATGTAACGCAAACTTGCTATTAACTCTTTGCTAATAATTAGTTTAAGTATAGTTCATTTATTTTTATGAGTTAAAAATAATTGGCAGTTAAGTTCTTTCCATTTAGTCACTTTTAAATGTTTATTTCTATTCACCTTTTTAGTTATGCGCAGGTGGTGTTTGGGATGGTGTTAAACAGGGTCATAATGCAGTATTGGCTGCATCATTAGCAAGCAGATCATTACAGTTCGATCGAGATGAACCGAAACCACATGGAGACTGTTGTTAAATTACAACAGAAATGTCTATTTGTATCTTCTACCGCCAGAAGATTCAGTCGTCTCCTAAAAATGTCATGTGAATAATCTCTTACTAAGAAGCATGATTATTATGCTAATTAATTAATTTTATTTCATCAGTTATACATTAATTTGATCTACTTCTATTTGAATTGTATCAATAAAACTAATATCCTTTATTTTTTATTTTACTGTTTACTTTCTTCAATAATTTTACCCAGTTTATATCATTGAAAATCTTTATTCCTTGTTTCATAAATATTTTTGGTGTTTCTTCTCCATTGTTCTCTCTCTCTCCATATTATTGGAATCATGTATACATTCTGACATTGTTCACTATTTTTCTCTGTATGTTTTAACGCATGCTTATTTTATTAATGTTCCTTCCATTCAAACCTTGTGGTAAATATGGGATTTGATTGAATATAGAAAATCTATTGAATGAATTGTTCTGCTGTTTAGTCATTTAATGTTTAATAATCCATTCATTTAATTCACATGCCTACTTAATCCTGTATTTGCATTGATTACATTCTTCTATATTCATTCATGCAGGTTATTTTTAAGTTCTCTGTTTTTTGTTTTGTAAATTTTCCTATTTTATCAATTGAGATAAATTTTGGTTAGTTGCATTATATGTGTTATTGTGTTTAATTAACCTTGTCAGTATCTGGTGTTAGATGTTTTTTTTTGTTTCCTAGAATGACATTTAAGTCTTTGACAAATTTTAAAAACTAAATATATCTTTTTCGTAATTTATAACCGAAGATGTTTAAGTATACTGCGTACTAGGTCGCTTTATTTAATTTATGGCTGAAAAACATAGAGTTTGAAAGTAGGAATTCATTATTTGATTCCATATTACCATTAGTTGAGGTGGTTGGGACATGTCTTGCGTATGCCGAACCACCGACTGCCTCGACGAACTTTGTTTTGCAGTGTAGGAGTAGGTTGGAAGAAAGTTGGGGGCGGCCAGACCAAAACATGGCAGAAATCCATGAAGTCATTGACTAGTGGACTGAGCCATGTCGGTAATTGTCGACTACCTGGTTGGGGTCCGCGAGATGATAATAATCGATGGTTAGAGACCTTGAATGACATGGCTCAAAATCGTTTGCGATGGCGCCGGTGCATTTATTCTTTGTGTTCTCTCAAACCCTAATCTTTTGGATTCTTCAACACCTCTAGTTTCGACTCTCTAAACTTTTCTCACTGAATCATACTTCTTGAATAATATCTTCTAATCCTAACCTTTCCGATTACTCCTAATACCTTTACTACCTCTTCTACTATTGGATTTGAATTGACAATTACATCTCTGTGCTGCTGTGGTATGGCAACCTGAACTGGTGCACTTACGTACGAAGTTCTACGTTGCATCTGACTGACTGACTGATATTACCATTGTTCTTATGCGTCGAAACAACTATGTAGGCAGTGATAAAGTTAGACTTTGTGGTACTAGATAGAAGTGGGCGATCGGCTGATATGACTGTGGGTCCTCACGGATTAGGGTAACTGGGGCATATTACGTACCCTATCTATTAAATTGTGTTATGGCATCAATTCATGAAATCAATTGTTGGCTTGAATTATGTTTGTAGGTTTAGATTACGAAGTTGAAATTCTCACAATAGTCTTAATGAACGGCTGGAGATTTTGGGTTTCATCCTAATTAGATAGTCTTACAATAGGTCAATAAAGTGACAACCCAACTTTCAGCCAGTAAGGTTACGGATCCAAACTTCGCTTCCTCCTTCTATGGCTTCGACAACTGCCTAATATCAATAACCCCTATAATCTGTGACCAGAGTCTGAATAAATTAATCTTCAAAACGTTTTTACACGGAGACATGCTATTAGTTGGAGTTTATTTATTTGAAGCTATGTGGGGTTATCAGTTCATATATTAATCATTCGTTACTTCTCAAGACCTGTGATCTTTGTCATTTTATGATAAGAATTCGATTAGAAATTGATATAGCTTGAAATCATGATAACTTTCGAATACTATTCGAAACTAGAATAGCACAGATTATTTGATTTCTAATCTCAGCTAATCTGAAAGACAATCTTGTACAGAAGAATAAGGATCAAAGAAAATTACTGTATATTCATATTCGTCCATTGATTATTAGTTAAAGTAATTGTTATACTAAACACAAACACTGAATTAATGAGAACAATTGAATATTATGGAAACAATCGTATTCGCACAATCTATGCTGTTGAAGGATAGTTAGTGTTCTTTATCAGAAGCGTTGATCAGGTATAGTAGCTATTTGTAAACTAACAGAAAGGCCAGGAACACGGACAAATCTGCTACGCTTTTGGTGCTGAACAATATGTTCGTATTAAATTATCATTTACAACTGACTCAAATAATCTTACATTGTTATGAATACTCAACAATCAGTAGGACTTATTGCGTTGTCCAAATTCTTAAAAAAAACAATCTATGTTTTACCAGGTAGTATGTAAACGAGTGTACTATATGCTGCTACATCCAATAGCTTACCTGTAAGTGCAGAAAAAACATGTTAAAAGGAGCAATCATGATCTGCAAATAATTGTGGCTTAGCAAATGCCTAAGTAGCTAAAGCAACAAATGTATTTTAGCATTTAAGTGAAAGCAAAAAGGCGCCAATATCAAATCGAATCTAGTGGTTTTGTATAAAAGTCTTCAAGTGACTATGCTATTTATTATTCCTTGTAGCCTTGAATGTAAGAAGAATCCAAACCCTATTTGTGTGAGCATAAGTAGTTGATTACCGCCATGAACTTATCCTATTTATATTGATTTATTTAAAACAATGGGCCTTTTGATAAATTTGTGTGATGCAATGAGATTGTGAAGATTGTTCAAAAATTCATCAAACTAATTTGATATCATGTAGTTCTGATAAAAATCTGTCTTATCATTGTATGATCTTAATTAATCAAAAAGACTAAAAGAATCACAGTAGATTAATATATTTTATCTTATACCGGATTTCTTTCAGGATTTAACATCAATAGATATGGATAACCTTCAACAAGAAGACTCTTATCTTCATAATAATAATAATAACTTACTAGTTTTGCAAAAGAAAAAAAAATTCCACCATTTTTTATTAATATATTATCTTTGTTAGTAGAAATTATTTAATGGTAGTGTTCAGATATTAGTTGTCATATAGTTTTTGATTGCCCAGGTGAGGACAACCGAATTGTATTTAACGAAAATTACAGAGTTACTCAGTAAAATAGGAAAACCATGTCGTAACCGTTAATTTGCAAATCTTCAATCCTTTTTTCTGACATTTCACTATTCATGCGTTTCATACAAATTCCATTGTGTTCCCACTCTTCCTTACTTGATCTTCCCCCATCTTCTGCTGCCAGACATTACGTTTACACTCGCGTCATATACTACTTATAAGTAGCGTGCACCACAATATAAGTTACGAAACCGAATATTCGCTTCTCAACAGAGAGACCAGGGTTGAATGGTTGAACTATCAAAGTCTCAGCCATGTACAAATTTCTAAATCTTTCCTTTTGTGAATTTAAAAGAATATTCTGTTATAGATGGATCATCAGAACTATTGACTAGTAATCTGCCGTTGTCCTTCAGTTAACTTTGTCATATGGTTGAAGTAGAGTGAAAGGTAGTGGATAGGGAACCATGGACTCAAGTTTTATGCTGTATTTATAATGTTGAGAGAAGCGGAACACCTACAATGTTCCGATCTCATGTAACCCCCTACTTTAATATGAGGGTCGCTACGACGAATGAGCCGTTTAAGTAGCATCCGATTACTATTGGAACGAAGGTGTATTTCTTACTGAGTAATTACTGATTAGGCTTAAACGTCTTATTTTTCAACATAGTGCACGTCAGACTGAGTCACTTAGACTGGTGAATGTGTCGCAACATGACATCTGCTTCATATTGTATAATATAGAATTTAATATCAGAGGGAAGGAGGATTGGATAAATGTTTAATCCCCAAGTATGAGACTCAACAAGAAGAACGCATGTTTATGAATCAATCAATCAATCAGATCGACTTATTCGCGTGTACAAATTCATTAATAGTAGTACTATTTTTTCCACATTATGTTTATTTATGTGAAACTTCATACGACCATTACCTCAAATGAATATCGTTGATCATTAAAGTGTGATATATTCTTACTTGAGTGTAGTGTTTTCAGTCCTATGCATTTCATTGATTATTATTATTATTATAAATGGTTGATTGCGATTAGAGGTGAAAGCACATGTTTGCGTAGTTTTTATATTTTTTAATTACACTGTCACATGTTTTCCTGTTAAATTACTGATTATATTTAGTACTATTACAATTAAAATAGAGTGATAAAATAATTCACTTTATCGAGAAGTATCAATATATCTATCTGCTTTTTTATGTATTATACTTATATATATATATACTTTTGACCATTACATACCTACACGAACTCAATAAAATTTTTTCAGGATTTTTACTTTTACACCATTTTGCTGGAGTTTGATGTCTAAATCTTCAAACTTCAATAATTTTATGTCATAAAGGATATAGTATTTAAAATAACGTAAATTAATATCTATCTGATTACGTATACAACTGACCTCCTGGAATAATTTTATTGATTGAAATAATGGAATTTTACTTCAGTTTCTATTTATAAGTAATACAGACTAATATATATATATGAAGGGGTTAGTTGTTCGGATCTCTAAAAACAATAAGTTCTGTGATCAATACATTTTTTGAGACTGTTTTAGTGGCTAAATATTCATGATTTGCGCAGATGTCCAAATCCAACTTCATAATCAATGAATACATCAAAGTAAAGACAACTAGCAACTTAAACTAGCCTCCATTCAGTTAAAATTAGGATTTTAGTCAATTCAAATAGCAGAAATAAGTAATCTATATTACACTGAATACATTAAATATTTAGTTTTCTTATTACGTGATTTGATCAGAAATGATCGAAG